CTTAATATCATATTAGAATTCTTATATTAAGTATACTTAAAAATAGTATAATCTATTAAAATAATTTAAGCTATTTGATTAGATATCTCTTAAACTTATATATTTATGATTTATCTTTTAATCTTTAGATGTAAAACTTTTTTCATAGTCTAATAAAATATAGAGCTAGTTTGGAAAAAATGAAGTATTTGACTGACTCCAAATTGTAGTGTTTGGATTTATATACACAACCTCCCAGTATACGTGCTTCCTCTATTTTTCTAGTTTAAATTTGTGAATTTATAATTGGTTTGATAGTGTTATAACTATTAAAATTACACATATGATATGAGAATATTTTTAACCTTAATGGCGATAACAGATGGATTGTTTTCTTGCATGAAATTACAAAAATTTACTTGGGAAATTTTGAAAAATTACTTAAAATTTGTTGGAGAGTCAAACTATTTATGAATTTTTATATACACACTACTTAATTGAGAATTGCCATTAATTATTTTTTTTTTGAAAAAAAAGAGAGAATCCCATTCAAAAAAGGGACAACTGTACTCTGTTTGGCGTCACCCACATTGGAAATATAAATGTCTAGGTGCTCTTCACTAACCGCCATTCTCTTCCATCAACAACAACGTCACTTTTTCGTTATACTTATACCATTTCCAGCCTATTTTATTGCTGGTTTTTTCCCCCTTAATTAGAGGAGCAATCCAAGTAACAATGGATAATAAAATTTTTAATCTTTTAAATTTATTTTAATTATTAATTTAATTTTTTAAGTTTAATTTTTATTCATTTAGTTTCTCATATTTTCATAAATTATTATGAAAAATTTTTAAGTTTAAAAATATAAATTCACATTCAAAATAATCTAACATGTACATTGTAAGGTATATTGATGGCTTGATATATTTTTTTTTTGTGAAAGAAATTTATATATTGTTAAATAAGAATAAAATAACTTATAAATTAATTTAATTTTTATCAATATAATCCCTTACATTGTGTTTTGTTTTTTTTTAAATTAGAGTCTATTTTTTTCTACCTAAATAATGATAGAGTACTTCTTTTCATTAATCTAAATGACCTCTATCAATGTTTTGTATTCATGTTAAAAAATTTTAATAGTGGTATCTCCTTTTTGAAAAATAAGGACTATATTTTTTATCAAAATTAACTTAAGGAACTAAATCAGTAAAAATTAAATTTAATACAACATATCATCAATTGAGATAAATTTGAGGGATTAAAAATTACATTGCCCTCATATTAATGATGTTTTTTTATCAAATTAATAATAATTATTTTTCAACTTTTTAAAAGAATAGTTTAATTAAGTTAATACAAATCTCATTTTCTGTATTAAGATATTGTACAAAAATTATTTTTGATATAATATAAAACATTTTCTTGAAACAATTGATGGTCCCCAGTATAAAAACAGTCCAAATTTCAATTATTATTATTATTATTATTATTATTATTATTATTATTATTAAGACACTTTTATATGACATTTAATAATGATATAAATGGGAAGATGTAGTCATTCTGTCCTAATTTATATGGCATTTTTTTAACAAAATTATGCATATAAATGGAGTTCATTAAATACAGTTATAACCTTAATTTTTCTATAAATTTTTAAAAATATCCTTGATTAATATGAGGTAGAGAGAAGTAAATTTATTTAAGGAGTGAAACAATATGAGATAGTATTAGAATAATTATCATTAATGAAATCTTATTTTTTATTAAAACATTTTATATTTTAAGATACCAAATTACTTAAAATGTTCTATAAATTGGATAGAGAGAGTACATTTTTTAAAGATTAAGATTTCAACTAATTTTGTTTAAAATCAATGAAATAATTATTAATGTCCTATGTAATATTCTTTCTATTCAAAAATATAGGGCATTTTTTGAGGAGTTTGATGTTAAAAAATGTAAGATATTTTTAGTCTTTCGAAATATAATTATTACTTTTTTTAAAACTGTCCCTATTGATAATGACTTTATATTTATCATAGGGTATTTAATAGGAGTAAATATGAAAAGATATGGTTAGTTTGAAAGTAAATAACTATTTTATTGAAAATAAAATTTGGTTCAAAATACTTTATATTTTTTAATAGAGGGAGTAGATGGGGGGAATTCCAATTTTTAGTAGATTGATTAAGAGTTTTTGTGCAAAATTGAAGCTGGTGGATGAAAGGGAAGAAAAACGTGTGAAATGTGTATTGCTACAAAATTCTTACATTGACCTAGTGTACTGCATTATTCATGTTTTGTCTAATAAAAACATGACATGTTAATCAATTATAAATACAAATTAATTTTGTTATTAATGTATTGATAATAATAGCAAGAAAAAAGACTAAAAATTAAAAGAGTTACATTATTTTAAAAATAACATAATTAATACATTATTTTAAAAATAACATAACTAAAAAATAATGATATATAAAATTTTATTTAATTAAATTGATATAATTTTATTAAATAAAGGATGAAAGATACTTCTCCCTAAAAAACAATTTTTTTAATCTAAGGTTGTGAAAAATTGTATAAAATTAAGCTAAATCAAGTTATATAAAAATGTGACATTTTGATGAAGGGTCATCAAAAATCAAGATATTATTATTATTATTGTTCACCCTTATAAATATTAAAACTTTTCGTGTCACCCCTATCACTTCGCTAGCAGTGATGTTTTAATTTTGTCTTGTAGTTTTGCGTTTTACTATGTGTTTGATAACAACAAATGCTGCGACAACCAATCAACATAAAAAGTAGTAGCGTTGTCTCCAATAATTAGGGTGCTCTGTATAGGTTGTCTGACTATAAATTTCTGTACCGTTAAGAAATGGGGTAAAAAATATAAAAAATTAAAAATTATTTAAAAATATGTTTTCATTATCTATTCTGAAAATATAAAATAAAAATTATTTTGAAAAACAAAAAAATATTTTGTTTCTTTTTTTTTGCAAAATTTAAAAAAAAACAGAAAATATCATATTTTTATTAGAATCAGGAATAAGGCTCATGCCTAGAGAGTCAAGTTTAAAGACCTTATTTAAATAAGGGTTCGAGATTTAAAAATTAAATTTTTTTTAAAATAACTGAGCTTGAGAGCCTAGTCCTGATTAACTCTGTAAAAAAGAGCCTGGGCTTGGAAGGCTCTTCAAGCTCTAATAAGTCTGATTATTTTGCACACATACATTTGATTGATAATGATATAATTTGATTAATATTTATTATAGGTAATGAACAAGAAGTTACAGAGATAATTAACATTGAATCTCCACCTCCATCTTTAATAAATTAATTTACATTTGAGGATTTAATATTTTATTTTTAGATGATGATGAGGAGGATTTAGATTTACATTGATGAAAATTTTTATGTTAAATTTTATGTGAGATTTTGATTTGTTTCATATTAAATTTTAAAATATCTTGCTTAAATTAAAATTTTAATTTTTTTTTGAGAAAAAAGGCTAGGCCTCAGAATTAGGTTGGATAATCAAGCTTTAGGGTTTAAGCGCTTAAGAGTTGAGCCCATAAAAACTAGGCTCATCCTAATTTCCATCTCTAATTTTTATTAATGATAAATATGTTAATAAAACAAATATTTCTATCACTTTTTATTTCATGAGATATGTTTTTTAAAATAATGGTTCAAGCAATCTTTTTTTTCATGTATTGTTTTCAAAAATTGTTTTAAAAACATAAAAATAAAGAATAAAATCAAACAGGCCCTAAATTTTTTTACAAAGATAATTACAATTAAGTCTCAAATAAAAAATTAATTATTTCTTTTGTCCTTATAAAAAAATATTACCGATTAAATTTTCTGAATTATAAATAAATATCAAATGACATTCTTTCCCTTATAAAAAGATAAAATACTTATCATTTTAACCAACTACTTTGATGGGCTATCGGTTGATTATAAGATCAACATTATTGACAACAACACCCTCTAAGTAATTAAAAATATATTTATTTAAATAATATATTATTAAAATATCAATAATTTTACAATTATTAATTTAAAACTTATTTATAAATATTTATCCAAAACTTATAAATCCTCTTTTAAAAATTAACAACTCAATCAATGTATCCAAGATTTACTAGTAAGTGTGTTTTTCATACTAGATAAATTATAAATTAAAATGGTGTGATAGATCATAAATCTTCATCTAAAATTTATAAGTCCTCCTTAAAAAATTTACAACTAGGGTAAAATAATGCATTCACTTTAAAATTATAGATATATTAGGTAAGTTATAATTTCTAGAACATTTATAATTTAAAAAATTGACTTGTAAATTTGTGTAAAGATTTGTGAATAATCATATTTAAATTTGCATATATAAAGGTATTAATATTTTAGTAAGATATTATTAACATAAATCTAATATTTTTTAGTTATTCATAGATGTTGTTGCTAACAATGGTGATCACTAATCTAATAATCATCCAATAGTTGGTCAAACTGACTGGTTGAAATAGTATTTTAGTTTTTTATATAGATAAGAAAATAACATTAATTTCTTTAAATTTAATTAATGATAATTCTCTTATAAAATATCTATTTGTTATTTAGTTTTTTCTTTAATTTTTAAGTTTTTTGTAATTTTTTAATCAATAAACAGTCAAAATTAACATTTATTTACTATAAGAACAATATTGCACCCAATTTAAATATTAAAAGGAAACAGTGCAGAAAAAATTTGGATTTCAGACATCTCTAGTCCTAGCCCCAAACCAATAATTTAAACGCAAAATTGTCCCTTTGACCTTAATTCAAATGAGTTGGGCTGTGATATAAACCTTAAAGCACAAATCTGAGGCCCATTCTACTTCGTCTCTCATGATTGGGCCGATCAGATTTACATGGGCATAATTTTCTCTTAGAAGTGGGCTCCTGGGTTACCCATTAAAAGGTGTATTTATTATAATAATAATTTATTTATAACAACAAATATATAATTTTGAGGGTCCAAGAAGAATAATACCAGTCTTCCAGTGAATTCCTTGCTTGGCGCCGGCGTCAACTCTGAATCGGAAGACCTAGGGCTACAACCCTGATTCGCTGCTATTTGCTGAGGCCATGGATCCTCAACCTGAGCCTGTTAGCTACATCTGTGGAGGTGTGTTTACTCTACCAGTTTTCCAGTTTGGTAGTCAATAAAAAGTATGTTGGTAAAAATACATGGTTTGCTTGAGTTTCTTTTATGTATTTGCATCTGCAATTAAACCTTATTCTCTGAAATTTCTCATCCCCTTTTAAAATTTGTTGGGTCGTGAGCCATTATAGTATTTTTATCTGGTTTTTTTTTTTTATTGTGTAGATTGTGGGATGGAGAACACTCTTAAACCAGGTGATGTGATACAGTGCCGAGAGTGTGGTTATCGAATCCTCTATAAAAAGCGAACTCGTCGCAGTAAGCTCCGCTATCTCTGAAAACCCTATGATCATGTTCTATTTTGCTTACAACCTTTAGAAACTCGAGAAGCAAGAACTTGAATTTTATTCTATATTGGTTATAATGTTCCTTAAACTTGGATGCATGCCCACTTTAAAGAGTGAAGATAAATGTGTGCCAATATATAATTAGTAATTGTAATTCTTTAATTGTTGAAGGAAATGAGTTATATATTGTACAATATATACATATGTGTGGGTGCTAACTTTGTTGGAGTGAAACCCTTGTTTAGTTCACATTATAAGTATGCGGTCACTTATTACCTTAATTGGATTTTTTGGGGTTTTCTTTCTGTTTCGTATGAATATTTTTGTTTGTTTAGCAAATATTACTAAGTGACAGGTCCTAGTTGCTGTTCCCAGTTTTTAATATCAGCTGGATCATCCGTAATTCTCGGAAGACTCAAATTTGGTTTAATGCCCATTAAAAGAAAGAACAAAGGGACTCTTCTTCAAAATACTCAATTGGGATATTACATAAATGGTTTTTTCTTTTTCTTTCTTTCTTTCTTTTTTTTTCCTTTTATCTAGGGAAATTGGGTTGGTTGTACAGTGTCCACTCACCAAAACCTTTAGGGATAACCAGAACTGGCCTCTTTAGTGTATAGGGAAATTGCTTATATGTTTGGCTTTTGAGTGATAGGACAAGGAGGGATATATCCATATGGAATATAACACTCATCTTTGTCTCTGCCTCAAGTTTGCTTTTGAAGAATCATGGCTGATTACTATGGAATTTTTTTAGCTTCAGCATTCATTTTATCCATAAGATAGAAACTCACGTATAAGTTTCTACTTAAGCCGTTTCTCTTCTAATGTTTTATGTAGTGAATAATCTTTATACAGTATCTCTTCATATCTGATGGGTGTATTACTTGTGTTAAAATGGTTAGGCTTGGAATATACGCCTTTATATATTGTATCCCTCATGATTTCATGTCACTGGATTTATATTTTATTTTTTATATTCTAGAATGTACAAAATATAATATTGTGTCTTTCTCTCCCTCTTTTCTTTCTACTAAGAAATAAGAATTCAGATCGAAGGCATTTGGTGATTTTCTTTTGTTTAAACATTTAGCCTTGCATTATATACTACTACTAGTAGATTTTCAGGTGGACCATATAAAGATTTTGTCGTCCTTATTTTTAGCATATTTGCGGATATAACTTTGCTGATTCTATACCTTGCATCTCTTTTATATGATATTAAAATGGTTGAAGATAAATGCTGACTTCTTTTCTATTGATTCAATAGAAACTTTTCCGTGCATTCTTGTTGCAAAGATTTTGTTTTTCCTTGGAATTTTTGCATCATGTTGGGTTGTGGAAGTTTCTCCAAAGATTACCTAATGAGCTTAAAGCAATTCAATTGTTAGCAGTTTAATCAATTTGACCCTGTTTTATAGATTGAATTCATATTTAATTGGTATGGATTCTTGTCTTGTGGTTTAACTACCTCAAATATATTTTGGTTTCATTTACTCAGAGATAAGATATTTCTGATATTGTAACAAGAAGGATTTATGATCCATTCTGCGGCCATAAAATTTTATATTAAGGCATGTTTCTGGCTATAATAAGGAAATGAAATATGAATATTATATCAGATTCCGGTGTATGACTATACGTGCTGTGTATGTTGATACAATTGTTGTCTAGATCACCAAATTCATAAAATACAAGCAGTTTTCGGAAGCACGCCATCTCGAACCATAATTTTCAATCCGACTCTAAAGTTGTGATCTTTTTTTGTTTCCCAAACTGTTGCCTATACATGCAAGTTATCTACAATTCTCAGGCAAATTATTTGTTTTATGCAGTTGTCCAGTATGAAGCACGTTGAAGAAAACTGTCACATCATTGCTGGGAAATCATCACATAAATGTCTTGAACGTGGTTTATAATCATGGTTTTCAGTGTGCTGTCCATAAAATTGATGAACAATTTGATACTTGAACTATGTGATTAACTCTGCCAATGTGGTTGCATTTGTGCAATGGCTGGTTATTGCTAGTGCCATTTTGTGGGAACTTACATTTGGTAAAAGAGAAGGAACTGTGAAGTATGTGGTTTTGTTTTAGATCTTCGTGCAAAAGTTAGCATCACTTTCATGGTTACACAATGCTTTGGTAAGGAGAAGGAAAAAAAGGAAAAATTACTGAGGTATGCCACAATATAATTATCACAATATCTATTGGCAACTCAGTATAGGAAAAATGGTAACATAATTAGATAGTTATGATTTTGCACTGATGAGTTGTCAATGGATCTTTATATTCTTTTGGTATTTAATTATGTTGTGTGAGATTTGTGTGTAATTCTTCCAAGTAAAAATTGGTGCCAAAAGATCAACCACTGGGCGACCTTAAATTTATTTAAGTTATAACGTGCTTGTATTCCCTGTTTGGATGAACGTAAGTAATTTATGGCTTGTTGGGCTATGGGGACCCCTCAAAGCTCCGTCAAGAATGTATCAAAATGAAAAAGTGGGTTGAGATTACATGAACGCAGGCTGTGGGTGGAATGGCCCGCGAACATGCTTTTAGTGGTCGTCTTCTGGAAATATTTTGTTTCTATAGTTATCTTATTTTCTGCTTGTATATAAAAAAAATACTTTCTCTATTTAAAAATATAAAGTAATTTTAGTTGAATTTCACTCTCCTAATAAAGTAGTTATTTATGTTTAAATTAACATTATTTTTTTGTATTTATTTTTATTAAATATTTTATAATAAATATAAAGTTATTCGTTAATAGGGATATTTAAAAAAAAATAATGATTATATTTTAAAAAATAAAAATATTTTATATTTTTTAACATTCAACTTCTCAAAAAATGTTTTATATTTTTAAACGAATAGAGTAGTAGTTATATTTTAAAAGATTGAATTGATCATAATTAGGGTTTTGACAATTTTTTTTTTAAAATTGAGTTACTAATATAGATTTAGGCAGTTAAAAATAAAAATTTTAATTATAATATGAAAGCTACATATGAAATTTAAGATGTTTTTTTATTTTCTTGAAATTCTTGAATTTGTAATTATTTAAATTGATATTTTTCTTTTATTTTTCATAATTTTTTGTGGAGATTCAACTGTCATCAATTTAATTTTTAACTGACATTCCTCCTAACATTTTTCTTCCTCTCACGCATAGGGGAAAATGATCAAAAGAAACTAGGGAAAAAAAAAAATTCCAATCTTATGGGTGCATTTGAAAGTTTAGGATTAAATGAAAGTGAAGGATTATTAATAGAATGGAGTGCAGGGGCAAAGCCAAATGGAATTAATTTTTTTTATTATTTGAAAGTTTTATAATGGGAAGGAAAAGTCTTGTATGACTATTGCTTAGGAGTTAAATTAAAAAAATTATCAAAAATGAATGGAATGAAATAAATTAAAAAAAATAAAAGTAAAACTAGGATGATAAAAAGGGATAGATGAACACATTCATAAAGAAGGGGTAATTTAGTTCATAAGATTGGAGATTACAATTCATCTGATTTTTTGAGAATGTAATAATTAATAAGTTTTATCATGATTATTATAGAGGAAGGATAAATTAGTTTATTTTTGTCATGATTTTTTTAATTCATCCTATTATAGTAACCAAACGGGACCACAAAACGGATGGAATGGAATGAATTATTTTTTTTTTGAAACATTTACCCTTCTTAGAAAAACTTTAATGGTTATATAAGACATGCCCAACCCTTATAAACTTGACCCTTAAGGCTCAATTTCATAAGCCTTTCTATTCTAAAATCAACGCTTATCTCATGGTCGATTCTTATTGACAAGGCTTAAGGTCAGGCCCAAAAATTTGCATAACTTTTTTAATTAAAAATTTTAATTATACTGAAGCATATATAAATTACAAAATATCTTAATTGAATAACTAAAATAGAAATATTCATTAGTCATTATAATTAACAACCTTCAATTAAAATAAAACGTTAGGCCCTTAAGGTGGATGTTTATTTTAAGGAGTTGGTGATATTTCAATATCGCTAACTTCATTTTTATCACCTAAAATAAATATTTGACGAATTATGTTATTTTCATATATTAAAAATTTTAAGTGAATTATATAAGTAAAGTTACAAAAAAATTATTAGAACTCAAGGGCAGGGCCTAAATGTCTTTTTATACTAAACTCCTCTATCTTTTCATATATGGCTCTTAAAAAATATAGAGCCTAAAAGAGTAAATGAAAATGAAAAAGGAGAAGGAGAGGGGGAAGGAAGTAGGGGAAAAAAAACGAGAGAGCGCCCTCTAAGGCTACGGGGTATGAAATATTATGGCAATACTATGTTCAATGCAAACAAACTTACTTGATGCAAAAGAAAAACATGCTAGAGTCAGCAATGCAAAGCATTGAGGGGCAAGAGGATATGACAGGAGAATGAAAATAACAAACATGATGTTTTTAATAAAGTTGGGTGTCAATTAGGGATAATTTTGTAATTGAAATATTTGCTTATGACCATAATATCCTTGACTTCCTCATTTGGGAAATGAAAAAAATTGAGTTCTTAATGGCTAAGGATGGCTAAAAGGCCACTTCTCCCTTTTTTTTTAAAAAAAAAATTCACATACAATGACTCAAATCGTTTTGGTTATTCTACTCAATTTCATTCCCTCCTTCAAAAAACTCTCAAACATAGTCTAAGGGTATGTTTAAAAGAATATGATGAAATGTAAAGGAAATATCATTGAAGGAATAAAATGGGGTGGGTTGGATAAAATGAAACATTTCATTGTTTAGAAATTTTATTAGAGGATTGAATGAATTTATTTAATCATTATTTAAGAATTATTATAATACTAATCTATTTAAATTAGATATAATTGTGTACTTTTCAGTTTTAGGGTAAGAGGGATTGAAAGGGTGAGAGGAGTGAGAAAAATGAGAATAATTTTACAGTAATGTTATTTATATTAGTTCATTCCCCAAATTATTGGTTTTTTAAAAAAACGGACTTATGATGGTTTAAAAGATTATCCCAAGCCATTCCACTTTCTTTACAAAAATTCTCTTAAATCATGGTTTAGAATTTTTAGTCATCTTACTTCATTACACTCCATTCCAAACATTACCAAAGCCCAAAGAGTGATCAAGTCATGATTAACCGTATATATCAACTCAGGAAAGTGAAGAAACAAGTAATTTTCATCAAAAGAATCTCATTGATAATTAATCTAAATAATTCAATAGACCCAGTGGCAAAAGTGATCTCTTTATATAGAGACGGTGGTGGGTCCAATCTTCCACAGGATTAGTTTAGCCTCCTTTTAATTTTAAAAAATAATAAATAATTCAACAGACTTATTAAGATTTGTTTAAAGAAAAGAAGATTATTAATTCAATTAGGGGCTCCTAAAAACCTAAGTTAAAAACTCAGTCCAAAACCCATATATAGATAATGATGTAATGAGGTAGGTAGCACTACTTCATTGATTAATTGAGGTAATTTCACTAAGTGGATATGGCACAAATAGCAGCGACCTGAGCTCCTTAAACATCATTATAAAGTTTGATTCCTGAAGATATATATGAAGAAAATCACTTAAAAAAGGACTACCTTTTAAATAATTCTCAAATTTCTTGAGAACTAGTCTCATTGCTATTAGCTATGGAAATAGCTTGACAAAAAAAAAATCAGGTAATTTCCCAACACATAAGATGATTAAAGATATTGTGATTAGATTATTTAAATAACCTAACTGGAACGAAAGGGTTGAATGGTTGACGGAAGAAAAGTCAAGGATAATCTAATGGATGTCATGTGAAAAATTTAAATTAGATTATTGAGAAAATCCAATATTGTAAAATAAAAAAATTACAACCGAGTAAAATAAAAGTAAAAATACAATCTAAAAAATGTCCCATAAAGTTAAAGGACGCCTGAGGGGCCTCAGTTGAGCATAATTTATTTAATCGAATGTCTTGGTCCAAAATACAACTCATAATAAATAAATAATTCAAAGATTTGAACAGCAAATAGACTCCAATTGGGCTTGGCACCATAGATGGTGATTCAATGATTATCCAACAAGCCATTTGGAGCACGCCTCTAAACTCTCCATGTCAGACTTTTATGGCAGTTTGGTTTGAAGATACGGGGGAATATGTCAAGGAATATAATGTAATATAATGACGTTTACTGTTATTTTGTTTGGTATGTTATTGAGAAATGAGGACGAGATAAAAATGTTTGGTTGGGTTACAAAATAAGATATTTGGAATGCTCATGCATCTCTTGAATGTCTCCATTGGTTTCTATGATAGAAAAGGACTCTCCCTTGGCTTATAAACTTAGAGCTAATCGACAAGCCATGTAATGCAATGTTCAACAAGTAGAAAGATGCTTTCTAGCTTTCTGATATTGAAAATATCAATCATGTTCTCAGAGATTGCCCTTTTGTTACATTGTCTGGAAAAAAAAATACTTCCAACTAACATTTGCACTGATTTTTTGGCAAAGATTTACATTCTTCATTCATATAGTGCCTGCATAATTTTCAACTGGATAATTCTTGAAAGATTGGGTTAAATATTACTTGTTGGAAACTTTGAAATAGAAGAAACAGACACATTTTCACTGATGAATTTTTTATCCCTACTAATCTCCTCTCTCAAATTGGTGCTATTGTTAATCACACTTTAAGATGTTTTTTTACTAATATATGTTTGATGTAATTTTTTGAGTTTTCTTTTTTAGTGTTTCTCTCTGAAACCTTGTACAGTTTTTTTCTCATTGCTATTGAATTTTCCCATTACACTCAAAAAAAAAACATGAGAAATGTATTTAACCCTTTTTTTTCAGTACATTTCCGATTTCTTAAATTAAAGCTTTTTGTGCAATTTTCCAGCCTATTTGGATTGAAAGTACAATCAATTTTTGGGGCCAAATAATTGATTTTTGAAAAACTTACCCAAACAACCAAAAAAATTTGATAATTGATTATTGAGCCAAAATCATGTTTTAAAATAAGATTTAGGAGGTTATTTATATATTCAATTTTATTGTTAAATAATATATTTTACTTCATAAATAAAGTTTAACATATTTAA